AAATTGGATATGATGGCCATATCGCACGTAGACGAAGTTTAAGAACGACGCCGTAGACGGAGTGGTTAATCGTCTGAGTGTGATACGGACAATCCACTCGAGTTATACAGTATATTTTTTCTACGACACACTAACGAAATTCTACAAATTTAAAAAAGTATGTTATTAAGACAAAATAAATAATTTTAAAATAATGTATGACTTTTACTAATTTATAAAATTAAATAAACATACAAAAAGATTTAATTTAATTAGTCCCCAGCCCTGATTTAAACTCGGGCTTCTCGCTTGGAGACAAACTCCGTGCCCTCACGCCATCGCCACACTTGCCATTTTAATTCTAATACTTGTAATTAAATTAGTTTCATATGGTTTGATTAAAATTTAAGATTTGTTTGTAAATTTGGACGAAATAAAAATAGAAATGCTATTACTTATCGATTATACATAAGAAATATTCATTTTTACGTATTGTAACGATAGTCTAATTTATTTTATAGTTTATTTATTTATTTAAAACACACTATTTACAATGTATTTCAGACGTACTAATTAATTTATATAATACTTAGACACTGACTAACAATTCTAATTTATTTATTACAATTTAACTTTTTATTCCAATACTCTGTACTAAACTAAACTGCCCGACGATGAGTCGGGCTATTTATATTAAGTCCAACTCTGCTACTAGAAGTCTCTAGACGGTCCCGAAAATTCCATATCTGACTCAATGGCACACTCTGCCTGTTCTACCCGTTTCTCGAGCCTCAGCGGCATTCCCAGAACATTCCGTCGCCTCGAGCATGAGTCGGGGCCAGCTGAAGGTCGCACCTGCTTTAGACACAGGGTCGGATTAGGAATTTCATGACAGTATATTGAACCTCAATAATTCAAAAATATACAGACAGTTAGTTTGACAGAATTGTTACTTACATAAAATTGAAAAAATAATAGTAACCGGGTGACCAAAATATAAACTGATTGGTGGATTTAACTGTTTTGTAGTGTTCTTACTAGGTAGAATGGATATGAAATATATTCGTTCAGTTGAACGCAATGGAATACTTTTTGTTTTGTAGTATGTGCGTAGATTAGCTAATAACTATGTGGGTATAGGAAAAATCATATCCATGTGGGTGTAGAAAATAGTAGTTTGTGTAACGAGAGTGAATATAAATTAAATGGATTTCATATTAAAATTTATATTTATTTATTTCTAAATATAGATCAAATAAAAATAGAAATGCTATTATTAATCGATTCTACACAAGTATAACTCATTTTACGCAATAGCATATTTCTTCGTTTTGTAGTCTGTACGTAGATAAGCTAATATCCATTTGGGTGTAGAAAAAATTGTTTTCTAGTACTAAAAATATATAAAAATAACATTGAGTAAAATGATTTATTATTAGTAAAAGAAGAAATTAAAATAAATCATCTTTATTGACTATTGGTCTAAAATCCAAACCTCTAGCGAAACGTGTAGTATACAATCTAAATAAAATTGCTTTAGTTTGCTTTCCATATACACCAAAATCTATCATCTTTTTTTATTTTTTCTACAAACATACCTAAAGGTATCAAAATAATAAAAAAACAAATATTTGGTTTAGTGAAGTTGCCCCTGAACCTGGTAATAATAACAATTATGATTTCGGTTTAATTGCATTTTGCCATTATCATTAATAATTGCAAATTTTATTATGTTGCAAACCATTGATTTTTCCGTAGTCAGTTTTGAAGCAAGATATTTAATTTCGATAATGCTTTCGGTTCCTAATAAACCGTCGGGACCTAAAAAACCAAATTCAGAATCCTCAAATAAACCACATTTATTGGACATCCGCTTTAAATTTGTGAATATTGCTTTAAAGCTACAGGTTATTTTTCTGTTCCATACTATATTAATTTCCCATATATTTTGACGTTTATGCTTAGACGGGCAGGAACTGAACTGGACTGGAATAAGAGGTGATAGTGTGTGTCTTTTTCTAAGTAATCTTGCACGATATTTTATAGATTTCCGTCGAAATGGAAATATCATTTTCGGCATTTCCGAAAGTTTTCCGATTTTTACGACAAACTATTATAACTCAGCTTACACACAAAAGTTCATATAAACGCATTAACTAAATACGAAACGAAAACACCGTCACTTGAACTAAAAAGAGTAAAGTTTTTTTAATAATTTCATCCTAAGCTACTTAAATGACTATCTAAATACTTTTATCCTAATTTTCCGGTACTGCATGCACCGCCAACGTCCGCCGCCTTGTTGCCAAATCAATTGATATGGATTTGAATCTGGACAGATTTTCTCAGATTTCGTAATTCAAGGTTTTCAAAAAATATACGCATTAAACAAAAAAGTGCATTGGAAAGAATTAGCTAATTTTTATATAACAATTCCCGGTAAAGACTCCTTTTTGCAATAATTTTCATAATTTGTATAGAAAAAATTAAAAAATAAGTTTTTCTGAATTCGGGCTCTACAGCGGGGCTCTCTATCATTTGCTTAGTAGGTATACCAAATTTTATAAAAAAATATTTAAAACTGAGAAAGAGAACCTTGAAGTCGTTTTAAGCCAGTTTCTAACCATGGATATCGCTCTTAACATTGGAGACATAGGCAAAACAAAAATATGCTCCGAAGGTGACGTCATGCGCAAGAATGACCAAATTTCGTACCGCTTACCGCTTCACCTGTATTCTTCCACCATGGTTTTTTACTTTATTTCGTAAATAATAGTTCTTCAGTAAGCAATTGTATTGAAAATCTACAAAATATAAGAATTTTACATTTTTAATAGCATTTTTTTAATACGCATCTCAGGCGTATTACAAAATGCAAATAAAAATGTAAAATTTTATGTTAAATAATTTTAGAAGTGCAAAATAAATAATACAAAATTGTAACAACTAAATATTATTTGTAGAATCTTTATTGGTTACAACAATAAACATAATATACATTTTCTAAATAAACAAATATATTAAATAACATAAAACAAACAAAATTTTTCTATAATCGTGCCAAATACAATAGAAGTTCCAACCATAAATCCTGAAATGAAAATAAAAAAAAAAAAAACAATCGTTGAAAGCGAAAAACTGCTTAAGACACATGATTTTGGTTGTATGTGACTCATTACTAATTTTTACTTTACTACTTATAATTTCTTTAATGGCTAATTAAGATTTTCTTGCTTTTTGTAATGAAAATACTTTAGATTTATCAAGATTATAAAGCTTTGTTATTCGCATATCTAGAATAATTATTATCAAAATGAATATCAGAATTAAATTTTTGTTAAACATTTCAATATTTGGGAATAATAGAATTACGATTAATATTCCTTACAAAAATTCTGCTTGTTGAAAAAAATTACAAGAAAAAGTTTCCTCTTAAAGTTATGAAGGAAAACTGTGACTTTTCTTCGTAAAATCAATAGGTAATACAGATTTTTGTCAATTTCAAGTTTCTTCATCTATTAAGACTTTGTACACCTGACCTAACATATTAATATAGTAAAACTATTTTTTCGTCAAACAGAATTTTTTTATAATGACTTTTTCCTTAAAATAAAAATAAAGATTTTTCCATTTTGTCAACTCCATACAGGAGATGTTTAAAATATAACATTTTACTTTAAATCTTAATAATATACCTACATAAGTAAATATAAATTGACGCTAAACTTTACGTGACGTTAACTAGGCACCTACCTACATCTTACTAATAGGTTTATAACTGACAAACTGACCCATAACTTAGGATTTTTTTTAAAAGTATACCATACATACCTACCTAATAGGATCTTTAAGAAAGCGAAAAAATCTTTTAATACAGTTTATTGATATAGTTTTTTGCTGCACAACTTTGCCCAGACATAGTAAAACACGTAAAAGTTAACAAATTAACACTGGAAAACAACTACTATATAAAAAGTGTCAAAAAATATCTATAATTCTAAAAAAATAACAATAAGTACATAATACACACATCACAAACAAAATAAATTTAAGACCCACGCTACTGATTCCGAGCTGCTGCAACTTGTTTGTTTTTGTCGATATAAACGACGACAGTGACGCCACTCACTGGCTTGATTGAGAGGTTGGACCCCCAAAATGGCGGTGTGCGCGTAGATGTGCGCGTAGCGTTGCCGCCAAGGCAAGTTAGCCTGCCGATTGTTTCTTATGCCGTGTTCTGGACCATGCGGCAGTCGTACAGCGTTGCCAAATTATTAAGCAATTGTATCTCTATATTAGAAAAACGAAAAAAATCGCCAAAACGCCACTGACGCTTAAATGGGATGGACCAAATTATTGCGGCCAATGTCAAGTATGATGTGTGTGGCTTTTTCTTAGTTGAATCGTACTCTATCATAATATTTTCTTTGTCATCCTTTCCGGTAATTTCTTTACATATACCCCATAAAGATTTAGTTTTATTGTCAGATAATTGTATTCATCATATTGTTTCTTTAATAATTTGTATGTAACCTTATACATGTCATTGTTCCTAGCTAAAATTAGTACTATATCAAGCTGATTTTTTATATTAATAATATCTTGTGTTAGCTGATATTTTTTGCGTGTTTTCCTTACAGTTACATAATTTAATGGAAAATTTTTATTAAAACTGCTCTAAATATATATTAATGAATAAGTCCCATTTTTTTCTATCTACATGCTGTTTACATTGACTATCTCTTCCCAGTTAGTCCTGCTTAGCTTTAAAAGGATTTTTTGTATGTTTTCCTCTGTAAAATATCTAGGATAATTGTGATAAATCGTATTGACATTATCACTTAACTGAACTTTTATTACCTGAGCAGTATGATCCGAACAATGTAATTCTACCACCATTGTTGAGCAATTACCCTTATAGTTTGATAAAATATTAACTATGCAATTTTTTCTGTTAATTGTAATATCAAAGTATTTGTACACTTAAAATTGTTTTTCTCCAAATTATATATATTTTTTAGCTCGTTAGCATAGAAGCCGAAGAAGAAGATAATGATGACCAACCCTTGTATACTCTTTCTTGTGTTAGATCCCTGATTCAAAGAGCCGGTGTTTCATTTAAGAAGCCTTTAGGAAATGTAGTTGAGGTAATCTATTTTGTACACAATGCTATAGTAAAGATAAGAAAATAAGGAATTTGATAAATTACAAATATTTTGAACTTTCATTCCATTGGGAAAGGCTGTTTAAGTCCACTATCTGTTAATTTCAGAACAATGAGTAAATTTTATAATTCGCATAGAAGATATAAAAAATATTCATAGTTATTTTACAGTAACTATTTTTTTATACAACTATAGAAATACATACTTTTGTATGATAGCATCAGAAAAGTAATCAAACCTAATTAATAGGTCATTGGTTTTAAAATGTTTTTGTATGGCATATTGCCATTCAGCTAGACACAGATTCGTTAGTAGATATGTAAGAGAAAATCAAAGTATGTGGTAGATATACAAAGCTGCCATCGGCTCATTTGTACCAAAAGTCGCCGCTAGATGGCGCCATCGTCTCACATAGGGAATTCAATGTGTAAGAGAGATGGGGGAGTGGGGGAATTAAATTTCTTTTAATGCGGAACGTCAAAAAAGGACCTAAGCATGTTTCTCGGCTACTATTGGTCCGATTCAAACAGGAAAAACGGCATTATGTAGAGAACTCGGTATAGATTAACATCGAACAGAAAAATCATGCGCAGTGCCAGGTCAAAAGGGTCTAAAACTTATATCTTTGTTATTGTTGGTCGGATTTAAACGGGGAAAACGGCATTATGTAGAGAACTCGGTATAAATTAACGTGGAACAGAAAAATCATGCCCAGTCACAGGTCAAAAGGGACTAAAACTTATATCTTTGTTATTGTTGGTCGGATTCAAATGGGGGAAACGGCATTATGGAGAGAACGCGGTATAGATGAACGTTGAAAAAAAAAAATATGCGATTGCCAAAATGTCATCGATTCGAATGAGAACAATACTAATGCGTAGTGACCTGACCAAAAGATACGTTTTTGTTTGACGTTTTTGTTTGACGTTTTCGTTTGATGTTTTCGTTTGACGTTTTCGTTTGACATTTTAGTTTGATGTTTCGTTTGACATTTTAGTTTAACGTTTGATGTTTCGTTTGAAGTTTTCGTTTGAAGTTTTCGTTTGACGTTTTCGTTTGACGTTTTCGTTTGACGTGTTCGTTTGACGTTTTCGTTTGCCATTTAGTTTGTTTCGATTGTCGTTTCGTTTGACGTTTCGTTACTTAAACTAAGATAACTACTACTACTACTACTACTACAGCCGGGTTGGCCGAGTGGTCTAAGACGTCAAGATTCACAACCAGATCTCCGAGAGGAGGCGTAGGTTCGAATCCTACACCCAACAATAACATTTTATTTCAAAGTAAAATAGGTTCTTCAATTTTTTTCTCAGTATTAAGATGTCTAGCAAACAGAATAGACGTAAAATTGAAGCGTTTGCAGAAAAAGTTAGGGAACTAAGTAGAGACGTGAAATTATACGAAAATAAAAGACCTAACAAATTTAAGTCTTTGGGATAAAGTCTTTGAGAGATATTATCCTAATCAGTATCCACTTAAAAGAATCCAACCAACGCAAATATGGCCATCTTAAAGGCTTATTTCATTATAATTATAATATTGTTAAAGATCCCTCTGATTGTCTCATACTGCAGAAAAATTTATAGACAGTTTGAACGAATACGGCTTTTTGCATGGATTATTAATTAATCCCTTAAAATGTAATGTAGTGTCTTTTTATAAGGGGCTTAATATAAACCTAATTAATCATACTTATGAGTTGCATGGAAATCGTATTAATAAAGTTGACAGTATAAAAGATCTTGGAGTTATAGTTCAATCCAATGTCTTTTTCTCAGCATGTCGATTATGTTGCTGGGAAAGCCTTAAAACAGTTAGGATTCGTGAGAAGGCACTCGGCAGACTTTGTGAATTTGCTGTTGGATTTTAATTAACAGTGCCCAGTGCCTAAAGTGGCGCTGGGAAACAGTAACAAAGGCTAATAACCTTAGTAGTTGATGCCGATGACACCAAATAAAAAAAAAAAATATTTTATTCGCTTATAAGGTCACATTTGGAATATTGTTCTGTTATCTGGTCACCATATGCGCAAATTCATATTGAAAAGCTTGAAAGAGTACAGCGTAGATTTTTAATGTATTGTTCTTTTAGATTGTCACTACCGTACTCTTATACAAATATGCTTGCCACAACAAATAATGAAACATTAGCTTTCCGAAGAGAATTTATTGATTTTCTATTTATCTTTAAACTTGTAAATAACGTTGTTGATTCTCCTGAATTCTTGCAAAGTGTAGATTTTTATATCCTACCTAGGCAGTTGCGTGGTAGCTCCACATTTGCTTTGAAAGCTCATAGAACTAACTATGGCTCAGGAATTGGTATGGCCAGACTTCTGAGAAATGCTAATACATTTGCAGCAAAACAGAATATTGATATTTTTAACTCTTCCCTGTATCAAGTGAAAAGAGTGACGAAGTAAATAAATGTCTACATAGTATTTTAATATTTATGTATATTTTTTATACTATAAACCTATGTATTTTGTAAATGGTTTAAACTGTATGATAAATAAATAAATAAATTATACTTACGGCTATATTAAACAACATGCTGTATACAAACGTGCCTAGTGGCGTACAACAGATGGCAATACGTTTTGATGAATTTCTCAATGGTAAATAATATGAAGCTAAATACGTTTTCCATAGCAATAGATGAAGCGAAGAGATACAAATTAAAATTGATTTTTGATGATGACACCGAAGGGCAACTAAAAAATTGTCAGACTGTAGCAATTTCACCACCTTTATTGGAAATCGATTTAAGTGACATGCCAGAACTTGAATATTTTAAATTATATATAGTTTTTCTGTTCGATGTTAATCTATACCGAGTTCTCTATATAATGCCGTTTTTCCTGTTTAAATCCGACCAACAGTAACAAAGATATAAGTTTTTGGTACTTTTGGCATGCCGCTACGCATGATTTTTCTCTTCAACGTTAATCTATACTGAGTTCTCTACATACTGTTGTTTTCTCCGTTTAAATCCGACCAACTATAACAAAGATAAGTTTTAGGCCCTTTGGTCTGTCATTGCGCATTATTTTTCTGTTTGACATTAATCTATACCGAGTTCTTTACATAATGCCGTTTTTCCCGTTTGAATCGGATCAATAGTAGCTGAGAAACAAGCTCAGGTCTTTTTGGAATTGCTACTGCGCATGATTTTTCTCTTCAACGTTCATCTATACCGCGTTTTCTACATAATGCCGTTTTTCCCGTTTAAATCCGACCAACAATAACAAAGATATTAGTTTTAGGCCCTTTTGATCTGTCACTGCGCATGATTTTTCTGTTCGACGTTAATCTATACCTGGTTTTCTACATAATGCCGTTTTTCCAGTTTGAATCGGACCAATAGCAATAAAGATACGCACTTAGGTCCTTTTGCTAATCCTAGGATTTTTCCGTTCGGCATTAAAAGAAATTTAATTCCCCACACTCCCCCATCTCTATTACAAATTGAATTCCCTATGTGCGGCGATGGCGCCATGTAGCGGTGACTTTTGGTATAAGTGAACCGATGGCAGCTTTGTCTATCTACTTTCATTCATTATTAAATCTACCTAAGAATATATCCTAACAAAAGAGATGTGAGAAGACGAACAACAATATATGACAGGGACATTCGCTTCTCGTCCAAGGATCCATCAGGAGAAACAGGCAAATGATTAAGATGTCTTAAATGATGCGCTTCACCACCTTGCACTCACAAAGATAATTTAGGAATTAAGATGCACTTTTATTATTTTCTTAGATATTTTGATTTCACTCAGCAGAAATTCGAAGTTCGGGTATATCACGGGAATTTAGAACTCTAAATTTCAGGGCAAAGCTAGACCCACTTGAAAGTCTAAAACAATTACACTCAAACTTCAGTTTTTATTCGGTGACATGCTAAGCCAAGTTTATAAGTACAGACCATATCGTCGTTGTCGCGGTGAAACCTCCTATGTACATTTCATCAAAATTTTCAGTAGATATAAAAACGTAACAATTTTGTTCTGATGTCTTATACGTATTACGCACAAGGGAGGTCTAAAATCACAATATTTTAAAAGAAAATTACATGGGAGGTTTCGCTAAACTGTACAGAATGTTAGTTTCTATGAACTGGTACAAAAATCTAAAAATGTGATAAAATATCACATAGGAGGTTTCACCGCGGCAACGACGATATGGTCTTGTAGAATATTAAATATTGTTTGTATGACTTTATTTTGGAATCTTTGATGGATCTACTAGTTCTGAGTTACTGCACAGCAAAGTTCAATTCAGTTAATGAAATACAAAACCAAGTAGTACATCTGTAGATTAGATTAGATTGGGAGTTGGACGTTATTTGTCCTTGTCAGATCTATTGTGGGACTCCGTTTGTTTTAGAGTATGTCGTCTAGCCTGGTCTTTTTTATTAGACTTAGTAGCTTTGACAGTGGCTCCCGCATGTAGTTGCATGCATTTGGCTTTTCTTCGCCCAATGTTAGAAACCTCATTCCAGCCAGGCCTTCACATTGGCACAGGACGTGGAATGATGTTTCCTCTTCTTCTTCACAGAACCTGCCCAAAGTTGCTTCTTTTGCTGGATTGATGATACTCATGTGCCTTTTAAGGCGTCAGGGTCCGGTAAGAAGACCTACTGTTTGACGCTTTTGATCCAGTAGTCTGTCTCAGTCTTAGATAGTTGAGACTCTTTTTGCATCCATGCACAATGCCTTAGCAACTCCACAGAAGGGTTCGGGGCATGTCATGGCCTTATCTGAGCCTTCTCGGGCTAATTCGTCGACCTTTTCGTTGCCCTGATATCCCTCATGGCCTGGCACCCATGCTAGGGTCACCTTGTTTTGACTACTTAGCTCTGCCAGGTTTTCTAGACAGTTACCAGTCGTGATTTTATTTCTGGTGAGAGAATTGCCTTTAGAGCTGCTTGGCTATCAGAGTATATGGCAATAGTTTTGCCTGATACTTGCTGATTTAGTATTTCTCTTGCACAGTGTTGGCTATTAGTTCAGCCTGGAACACTGTTGCTTATTTTCCTAAACTCAGCGAAATCGTTGTTTTCGACTTGGGTCCATAGATTCCAGCACCGACTCCTTCCTTGGTTTTTGAACCGCCTGTGTACCAGACGAGTTCAGCCTGTACGGGAGGTCCCTGTTTCCAGGCTTCTCGGGCTAGTATTTGAATTTGTAAATTTCTTTCAAATTTATATGTGGTTATGGCTCTATCAGTAGGCATAGTTAGAATATTATCCTTTTTTACTTGCTGATATAGCCTTGTGTGGTCGGCGCTATATAGTTGGCTAATTGGGTTTTATCCCTGCATTAGCCTGTGAATAGCTGACCTGGTTTCTCCTTGTATGAAGATGTGCAGTGGCGTGAGATTTAATAATACCTCCGTTGCTTGAGTTGGTGTAGTGCGTAGTTGCCAATAGCACTTAAGACAGGTGAGCCGCTGAATACCAGCGAGTTGGCCTATTTTACTTGCCTGCGCGGTTTTGGTTACCCACGCCACTGCGCCATAGGTTATCATGGGTCTTATCACCCTTGTGTATAACCATATGGTCATTTTGGGGTTTAGACCCCAGTTTTTTCCACATATTCGTCTACAGCTTACGAGAGCTATTGTAGCTTTGTATGTGAGTTTTCGAGATGTTGATTCCACGTGAGCCTTTGGTCAAATATGACTCCGAGGTATTTGGCTTCTGTGACGAATGGGATAACTATGTTGTTTAGTACTAGTGGTGGTCTTAGTCCTGTAAGTACCCGTTTTTTTTTGTGAATAGTACAACTGTTGTTTTTTGTGCGTTAATGGACAATTGTTCCTTTTTGCACCAGTTGTTCACTATGTTTAGAGCTGTTTGAGATTGCTCCGAGACTGTGCCTGCAAATCGCCCCCTGACGATAATTGCTAGGTCGTCTGCGTATCCTAGGTACTGGTAGCCTTTTTAGGACAATGTTTTAAGTAAGTCGTCCACACGAACTGACCACAACATTGGAGATAATATTCCTCCTTGTAGGCAGGTCCGTGTAGCTTTTGCCTGTATGGTTGCCTTTCCTAGAGTGGATAAAACGATCCTGTTCTCTAGACAGGCAGTGATACATTGGCATATTGTAACTGGGGCGTTTCTCTGTTCTAGAGCCTTGGTTATTCACCTGGTTGAGGCATTTTTGAAAGCTCCGATATCTAAGAAAGTGGCTATTGCGATTTCTTTGTCATCTATTGACTTTGAAAGCAGCCTGTCTGGATCGTCCAACGCTGGGTCAGTTGACTTTCCTGGCTGGTATGCATATTGGTTGGGATGGAGCGGATTTATTTTTAGTATCTCGTACCTGATATACCTATCTATTAATCTTTCTAGAGTTTTAGGTAGGAAAGAGGATAGGCTTATGGGGCGATATGACTTGTCTGTGACCCTACCTACTTTGGCCAGGTAGACTACTTTCGCCTTTTGCCATATTGCTCGGATATATCTTCAGACAATGCATGCTCTGAAGATTTTGCATGAATGTGGCATTAACACAGCCTTACCCTTCTGGAGCATAATTGGATATATTCCATCCGGCCCCGGGGATTTGTGTGCCTTGAATTTGTTGATAGCCCAACTAATCCTGTGTGGTCTTGTGATCTCGGAGGCTAGCTTCCAGTCTATTGGAGTTGGACTGATCCCCTTGTGACTGTAGCTATCTTGGTCTCCTGAATCTAGTCCTGTTAGGATATTTGAGGCCGGAAAGTGCACTTGAGTTAGTATCTCTAGATTTTCCTCTAGTGTCGTGGTATAGGTGTCATCCTCTTTTTTGAGGAATCCCACTTGACTAGATGTACTATCTTTGGCTATAACTTTATGGATTCTGGCACTGGCGGTGGTCTCTGAGACCTCTTCGCAGAACTTCCTCCATGAGTTTCTTTTAGCCTTGCATACTTCTTTGTTATAGTCTGTGAGCTTATTTTTATAAGTAGTCCAGTCTTGTGTAAATTTGTCTCTGTTGAATAGCCTTCGCATCTCGCCTCTCAGACTATCTAGGTGTTTATTCGACCAGACTGTCTTTCTCGTTTGGCATCTCTCTTTTTCAGAACAGTTTTCTTGGTTTGCATCAGTAATTGCCTTGTTTACTAAGTCCACTGTCCTTTGGAGTGTTTTTGTTTCTCGTACATTGGTGGTTTCCTCCTTGATTAAAAGACTCCTCGAGGGATTTTATGTACCCTTTCCAATTCGTCTCTCTCGGATTTCTAAACCTGTCTACGAGTTGGACATTGTATATGGAATCGGATGTCTGTGATCTGTCATCGGACACATGTCAGTCCCTGATTTGGTCATTTGTGCCTCTTGAACACATGGTCATATCTAGAACTTCTTTTCGGTTGGCAGTGACAAAAGTTAGTTTGTTGCCTTTATTAGCCATTTCTAACCCTTCACCTAGAATAAATTGTAATAGTGACTCACCTCTTGGATTGATGTTGGTGCTTCCACTGATCATGTGGTGTGCATTCGCATCGCATCCTATAATGAGGTAGGATTTCTGCTCCTCGCAATGGGCAATGATTCTGCTTAGTATTGCTGGGGACATATTCTCTCCTCTCCCGGGAAGTAGGCGGAGCATACAACATAGCTCTTCTGTCCCTCTTCCGTTTGGACTGATGGCATAGCTGTAACAAAATCACCGGTGCAAAACACCGGTATTAGTATACAATTAACCCTGTGGCTGTAGATTATACAAGCGCGGGGTTTTTCGTTCCCTTTGCTGTATAATAGCTTACCTTGTTGCGGTTTTAGTCTCGCGACTTCTCCACAAACAAGCCAAGGTTCCTGCAGGAGGGCTATATCCAGGCATTCTGTATCGAACGTCCTACATATTATGACAGACGCTGCCTTAGCATGGACCTTTATGCCCCGCTGTGGCCCGTTGAAGGCGCCGTAAGATCTGCCCTTTCACATTCCTCTACCTCAGTTGGGGAAGCCTACTCCGGGCTTTGTGGCCTTTTGAGAGGGCTCTCGCTACTTTTGGTAGAGGGTTTGGCGGACTTCTTGCCTTCGTTGCCCTTGGCGACGTTCGTCCTTTGGGCGGCCGGCTTTCTGGGGTTTGGTGTTTTTTGGCCCATTTTGGCCTTGACCTTTTGCACCACCGGCTTTGTTTTGGAACCTTTTGGACCGGTTTTGCCTTGTTTCTCTCTTTTTCTTCTTGTTCCATTTATTTGAGATGGAAGTTTATACGTCCCATCCCAAAATGTGGTGACATGTCCAGCTTCTGGACTTTGGTATATGACCCTTCGTCCACGGAGATGGCCCAAGTTTTTGGCCTTTCTCCATTGGAGTTGGGATCAGAACCTTCCAGAGGTTGATTTTTAGGGTGTTGTTGCTAACCCTCAGTCTGTTAAGGACTCTTTGGGCATCTAGCCTCTTTCCACCCTCGTCTGCTATGTACGTTGTACATATCCTTGGTTTTGGGATGTCGATGTCCTGCCGAGCCTCGAGTGTTGCACCCTCCCAGGGCCTAAGCGTGGGCACCACATCCTTTAACCATTGTGCACTAAGGTTGTCTGCACAACGTACTACAATGTATCATGGCCTGTGTGTGCATTTGGCAAAACGCACCTGTGACCCTCCCATGGGGATACCTTTGTAGGCACTTATGATTGATTCTTCGATAGCTGTCTGCTGCTCCGTTTCCATAAGTGCCTCTGGAAAGCCGGTTCTTACCACTGCGATCGTTGTAGTGGTAAGGGCCTCTTCAATTTTGGCCTTCTTTTCCACTTTCCGATCTGCAGGGGGAGTATGTCCTTCCGATCTTGGCCTTTTTGTGGACTTTTTATCGACCTGGCTGCCTTCGGTAGTCGAAGTTTGAGGTGACCTAACTTGGGATCTGACAAAGTTTTCCTTGATTATGCCTTGTTTGGCAGCAATGAAATCATGGCCAGTTTTTGCCAGGTTGTTTAGCCTTGCTCTCGTTCGACCGGATATGACAAAGAATCTGATTTCTGTGTCTGACATTAGGTCAATCTCCTCTTCGGAGGTAACCCTTCTGGGTTTGGGCCTTTTAGATGTTGTTGGCACTTCTGCCTTCCGTGGCCTGTTTTGTTATCTCTGGCACTCCTGCCTGAGATTGCTCTTTTTCAGCTACTGCTGGTGACACATTTGCCTGTTCAGCAGTAGAAGTTTTGGAATTTTTTGTATTTAGGTTCCTACTATTGACATATAAAAATGGAATTTGGTTAAACTAACAACCTAGTAATAATGTTGTTTTTGTCCTTATTTTCCATTGTAAATCAAAATAATTAAAACAGTACATGATAAAATAACCCACTTTCAACACACTACAATAATAAGTCATTGTGAATAAACGAATATAATTTTAAAGTTAATCATATGCAACTAACAGTACAAGAAACTAGTAATATTGGTTGCCTAGATTTCAGTATTTTTACCAAAATATAATTTTATAAATATTCTGGTCAAAGTTAGAAAAAAATATTGCATGTAACACATTACAAAATGCTGTTCTATGTATTTCGTTTATGTTGTAGGACCTGCTCGTCCCGCAAATATTCACTCATTACATAAAATAAGGCATTTCGTATCTGGTTTCATAAATAGATATTATATCATTAAAATACATTTTAGGTAACAAAAAAAAAAAAAGAAAAAAAGGTAATGTCCAAAGCTGTAACTACAAAATTAGTCCAAGATGTATTTGGACATTTTTTTCCGAACCAAATGGATAGTAAAGGTGACAGTAAAGGTCCAAGAAAAAAGCGTTGTGGAATTTGTGAGGCTTGTCAATCGCCTGATTGTGGCAAATGTAATAATTGTTTGGACATGTTAAAGTTTGGTGGTGCTGGAAAATGTAAACAAGCTTGCAAACATAGAAGGTAAGATAACATGGTCGAAACTTAATAATTCACTTGGTATAAATAATAAAAGGTAGGATATCATGTTAAAAATAGGACGGCCACGCGCATGACGTCACGCGTAGAGTTTGTATAGGCGCAAATTTAAAAATATTTATGAAGTGTGAGGAAAATATATGCTTACAGAAATTTCAGGAATATTAAAGGGTAGTATTTTAGAAAATAGATATAAGTATATTATTATGGGAAAGAGTTATGAAGAAAAAAATTCAGATACATACATAACAGAAATATTTATTTTAGGTAAAAGTTTTTTCATTTTTCTTTTTATTGATTTATTTTTGTTGTGCAAATTCGAATGCAGGTTTTTAATTTTAAAGAACATTTTATTTCTAAAGATTTTATAATCAGAATAATGAGGAAGTTATATTTGCAACTCGAAACTTGTTGATTTTTCCCTTAGATAAAGCTCAGTTTCTGGATTGCAAGAGAACCTTAATTCCTTTTAGGCGGTAGTTTAAATAATTACATTTAAATAACAAAAAAAAAAAAAACTAAAGAAGCCAATATTTTAAGGAGACTCACCTAGTGGTATGTCTGCGTTCTGGAATTTCAATGCGAACACTTCAGAGGTTCATACGGTACTCGACTATTAAAAATCCAAAAATGTCCTGTATAAACGCACAGATGTGCGCCGACGCGAGTGATTCCCAATATATTGGCAAGAAATAAATAAACTATTTTGATAAAAATATTAAGGGTCACTAGCATCCAATTAATTATGAGAAATATCAACATAAAATAATTATTTTAAATTAAGGAAAAACGCGTAAATACCTAACAGAACTTCTGAACTTTGGACCCTGGGTAAAAATTTCGCATCTGGGAACGCCGGAAATATTTAACTGATTAGGATTCGCAACTGGTGACTCATTTACCTGCATTATATTACCCAATTGAATATACGTACCTACTTATGTTATGGAAAAGATTTGATTTATATATAAGTACGATACGTCGAGGCAATGAAGCACTAAAAAGGCCAAAGTTCCTGGGTTTTTCCGTCGGATCGGAATGCGGTTTTTTGCATTCAGTTGCAAAAATTATTTGTATCATTCCTTCGTAATTTCCGGGTCATACAAACCGGAAATTGCATTGCTGCAGCCAAAAATGCATTCAAAAAATGCATTATTTGAGAGGCCTCTTGGATGATTTCAAAACTTGTTAAATAAGTGTCAGAACTAGCCCAGATCGGGTGCTCGGGGGTTTTCGAGGTCGCTAATTACGATTATGATGTCTAAATTGACCCACAGCCGACCTGGAGCTCAGGAACGTCGACGAACGTCATCTTCGTGGGACTCTCCCAAAATTCACACCTGGAAGGAGGGCAACTAGGCGATCGGGGTTTTTTTGGGTCGCTGAATCCAAATATGGCATCGGCGAATACCCCCCCCCCCCCCCCCGGACACCTGGTGCGCCCAAACCTCGACCTGGACGTCATCTCCAAGAATTTTCCTCACAATATCGACAAGAACAACCCGAAAATGATTGAGCGGAGTTTTTTGGGGCGCTGAATCTAAATTTCACGTCGAAAACGACCCTCTGAACACCTGGTGCACCGGAACTTTACCCTGAACGTCATCCCCGAGAGGTTTCCAGACACGAGGGGTTTTTTGGGGCGCTGAATCCGAATTTCACGTGGAAAACGACCCCCCGAACACCTGGTGCGCCCTAACCTGGCACTGAACTTCTTCACCGAGGTTTTCCAGACCCAATTGTAAAAGACGAACCGAAAATCGTTAAAAGGGGGTTTTTGGGTCGCTGAATTCAAATATGGCATCGGCGAATACCCCACGGACACCTGGTGCGTCCGAATCTGGACCTGGAGGTCATCTCCGAGAATTTTCCTGACACAATCGAAAAAGACGAACCGAAAATCGTGAAGGGGCGCTAAATTAGAATCTCCGAGGGTTTTACAGTCGCGATCACAAAAAAACTCCCCAAAAACATAATTTTATACATTCATTCATGTGTAACTCTCCCCTGGGGCTCTAGAAAAAGTTCATCCATTCTGGTTTGTCCAGCGAAACAATTTTTGAGAACGGGGCGTAGCTAATCCTGGCAATGTACAGTGCTCCAATGTCATTCAGGAAACCAAATATTCCTGACAAGCCAAAATGGGACCAGTTACTCCAAACGTACAGGTGCGAAATGTACAGGAGAACCGCTGCGACTGGGAGAGTAAATTTGGCCAAAATTCTCCCTACATTAGACGCCATTTAACAACATCTAAAGATTGTCTATTTTCAAGTACAACAATGGCTGCACGGAGACCAGCTGACCATGGACCCAACAAAATGGGGGTGGAGAAAGGAAGGCGACACTAGTGCCTGTACAGATGGAAGAAAAACCTGCGCCCAAGAATATTATGGAACTAATATTCTGTGGATGCAAAGGAGATTGTAATCTGAACACCTGTAGTTGCAGGAAGCACGGCCTACCTTGCAATCTTGCCTGTAAAATTTGTGAAGGTTCAACTTGCCTTAACACTGAAAGATATTCAGATGAAAACGTTAATGTGCCAGAGACAGAGTCCTCAGATGAGGGAGATGTTCCCTGTATGAATACATCAGTCGATGACGAAGAAAATGACCAGACACATTTGAGTTATTAATTAATTAAGGTATAACAAACTTACATGTTCATTGTATTCGATTTGAGGCCAATAAAAATTGTTTTACCCTAAATTACATAAATATTGCGTTTCTATTCATTCTCTTTCTTTCCTCCTCACGTAATCTAGAATCAACAATTGCACACAGCTATTGCAGTATTGACGCCTCGGAGATGACGTCCAGGTCTAGGTTCAGACGCACCAGGTGTCCATGCGGTGTTCGCCGATGCCATATTTCAATTCAGCGACCCAAAACCCCCCCCTTTAACGATTTTCGGTTCGTCTTTTTCAATTGGGTCTGGAAGAACCACGGTGAAAACGTTTAGGGCCAAGTTAGGGCGCACCAGGTGTTCGGGGGTCGTTTTCCACGTGAAATTCGGATTCAGGAACAGGAACTTTTTGCTTCATTTCTTCGACAATAGTTTTTTAAAAACTATTTTTTATACTTATAACGCAGAAGATAAAAATAATGTAAAAAATACAAATAATTGCTACATGGTGAGTGTATATACAAAATTAAAATAAAATGTCACTCTATTTTTCCTGGACATAGTCACTGACAGGTATTTAATTCTTCAATCAAGTACATGTGGATTTTTCTGCAACATATACAATTTCCTATAACAATTCCCTTTTTTAACCAAAATTTTATGGAATATAACAATTTCATTACAGGATGGACGTGGTCCCCTGGGACCCCCAAGGAAGTCGCCCTTTGGCCATTTTTGACTAACCTCTTACTTATTTATTTATTTATTTATTTATTTATTTATTTATTTATTTATTTATTTATTAAATACACTATTCTACAAGTAATACCCAATTACAGAATAGGAAAATATGACAAAAATATTTAGACGAAACGTACAAAAATGAAAAATATTACAGGAAATAAAGTACAATGATGGTTATCCTAAATAATGCCTTTTGATATCCTGAATACTAATGTGGAATATATCCAATTCCTGACTTATCTGATTGTAATTATTACACATATTATACAACGGTGAGTTCATTAAAATATTAGTACGAGGTGTTGGTAAGTAAAATGAGTCAGTATATCTTGAGGCTAGACGTGAAACTTTTAAATTAAGCATATGTAATAGACATTCGCAGTTTATTTGATTGCTTATGACCTTATGCAGCATAATTACAGAAAAATATTTTCGCCTTATATCGAGACTTGAAAATCCATGTTTATTTAATAAGGCGTCGTGTGGGGTGCCAATGGGTGGATAAACTAGATCATGTCTAAAACTTAAGTATTTTAGGAATCGTCTCTGAATTCCTTCCAAACGACCAATGTGTACTTGATACAATGGACTCCACATAAGTGACGCGTATTCAAGCTTGGATCGAACAAAAGCATAATACAGACATTTTATGGTATCTACTTTCTTAAAATCACGACTGTTTCTGATTATGAATCCATATGTACGATTAGATGAGGATGCAATACTATCGACATGGTCAGTAAAAGAAAGTGCTGAATCAAATAGGACTCCTAAATCGGCGAAGTTTTTTGGTCTGTTTAAGGGAGTTTCATCAACAATATACTGATAAAAAGTTGGATCTGACTTTAAGGAGTACGACATTACATTACACTTGGCTGGGTTTAATTTTAAATTATTTCTATGGCGCCATTCATTAACTCGTTTTAGATTTTCAGAAAGTCGCTCGCAGTCAGCAATACTATTTATGGAAGCATAAATTTTAAGGTCATCATACAGTAGATAATTAACATTAATTACACTACCAATGTCATTTATAAAAATATTAAATAAGAGTGGGCCAAGATTCGACCCTTGAGGGACACCCGATGTGGCAAGGTACTTAACAGACTTGAACCCATTGAGCTGAACGTATTGTGAACGGTTACACAAATATGATTTTAGTAAGTCAATAAGACTATCCGAGAGTCCAAAAGCAGACAGTTTTTTTACTAAAATTCCATGGTCAAGTCTGTCAAATGCTTTAGTCATATCTGTATAAATAACATCAGTCTGAATACGTTTATCGATATTTTCTGCTATATGCTGAGTAATAACTGAGAGATTCGTTACTGTTGATCGACCTTTTACAAATCCATGTTGTTTAGTGGATAACGCATTCCTTATATGTTGATAAATACTGCGTTCCAGTAATATTTCTAATACTTTACAAAAATTGCAAATAATAGAAATAGGTCGGTAGTTCTTAATGTCAGTTCGATTTCCATTTTTAAAAATCGGACATACTTTAGAGCTCTTCCACATGGACGGAATAGTACTAGAACGGATGCAAATATTGATCAGGATTGTCAGAGGATAAGCGAGTACTTGGGCACAATCTTTCAAAATGAATGCAG